TGTATCAGTACTTGATTTCTTTTATATTGCCAAATAATATTCCATTGGATGGATATACCATATTTTATTCATTCATCAGTTGATGGACATTTGGATTGTTTCCACTTTTTGGCTAATATAAGCAATGCTGCTATGAATATTAATGAATAAGTCTTTGTGTGGATATGTTTGAATTTCTCTCGGGTAGTTACCCAGGAGTGGAATTGCTGGTAATTCTCTTTTTAACTTTTTGTGTGAAACTTTTCCAAAGTGGCTGTACCATCTTCCCACCAGCAGTATGAGGGCTCCCATTTCTCCACATTTTCAACACTTGTTTTACTCTGTCTTTTTGCTTATGGCTATCCTGGTAGATATGAAGTGGTATCATTGTGAGTTTTTGTTTGTTTTGTGTGCGTGTGGGTGTTTTGGGAGTCTGTTGCCAGGGCTAGCTAGAGTGCAGTAGCATTAGCATAGCTCACTGTAACCTCAAACTCCTGGGCTCAAGCAGTCTTCCTGCTTCAACCTCTCCAGTAGCTGGGACTATAAGCATGCGCCATTACACCCTCCCGATTTTCCTGTTTTTTGTAGAGACAGGGTCTTGCTGTGTTGCTCAGGGTGGTCTTGAATTCTTGGCTTCAAGCGATCCTCCCGCCTCATCCTTCCAAAGTGCTGGGATTACAGGCGTGAGCCACCATGCTGGCCTTATTGTGATTTTGATTTGCATTTCCCTAAATGTGCTTATTGACCATTTGTGTATCTTTGGAGAAATATCTAGCAGATCCTTTGCCCACTTTTAAATTGGTTTGTTTTCTTTGTTAGTGAGTTATAAGAGTTCTGTATGTATTCTTTAGGTCTTTTTAAAAACAGACATAAGACGTTTCTCCAGACTAAGCAATAGAGTGGAAGGAAGCTCAGGACTTTGGAGTCATATGGTTTGGGTTCAAAAAACAACCTTCTCCATTTGTAACCATAGATGTTAAGTGATCTTGGACAAATTATTAGGTTATCATCTCTGAGCTTCCATGACTTCATTTGTAAAATGGGATAATAATGCCTATCTCTTAGAGTTTCGGTGAGGATTAAATGAGACTGCGTATATTAGCTGCTCAGCATAGCACCTGGCAGGCCCTTAAAGGCATCTTGGAAAGATTTGTGCTGGGCCTTTGCTTGGGAGGTCTTGGTGCCTGCCCTGTTCCAGAAACCCACTGACTTTTCCAGGGGTAACTAGGAATTAGGACTAACACCCTACATCCCTGATTTTGCTAATAAACCTCTTGGTTTTCATCCATCCATACCTATCCATTTTTTAATTATCTTAACCACTTTCAGTTCTATTTAGATTTAGTTGCAGCTGAAGTGCTTGTTTCCTCCCACAGCTGGGAACAATTTAGAGAAAAGAGTTACTGTTTTATTTTAAAATTTAACGTTTTAAATTCTGTTTCTCCTAAAGTAAAGGGAAAACAATCCCTTTAAAATGACTTTGACAGCCTTCTTATCTGTAGGAAAAGAACCAAGACTTTGGAGTCATAGGCTTGAGTTGCCTCAGTATCTTGTATAATTTTAGGCAAATCATCTGATATCTTTGAGCTTTGGTTTTCCCATCTGTAAAATGGAAAGATAATACTTCACAGAGTTGTGGGAACGTGCCAATGAAAGCCATAAAAATAAACACAATGGCTACCATATATTGAGTACATTAATACATGGCAAGTGCTAAAAGAACAGGATCTCACTTAACCTTCATGATCTGTGACATAGGTGTTTTGATTACCATTTTAAAGACAAAACTTGCCCAGGGTCAGCTGCATCTGTCTTTAACTCCAAAGGCCCTGTTCTCTCCACAGGCCCACCACTGTACAGAAGTGTGTGTGGTTTTAAAGATGCTCATGGCCTGTAATCCCAGAAACTCAGGAGGCCGAGGCAGGAGGATAGATTGAATCCAGGAGTTTGAGGCTGCAGTGAGCTGTGATCGTGCTGCTGCACTTTAGCCTGGGTGACAAGTAGAGACTCTGTCCCTTAAAAAAAAAAAGTTGCTTATGCTACCTGTAGTAGTTTTCTATTTGCTGCCGTAACAAATCACTACAACCTCAGTGGCTCAACACAAATATATTATCTTACAGCCCTGTAGATACAAGTCTGACACACATCTGACTGGGCTGAAATCAAGGTGTCAGCAGGGCTGCATTGCTTCTGGAGGCTCTAGATGGAGAATCCTTTGTCTTTTCCAGCTTCTAGAGGCTGCCGGCATTCTTTGGCTTGTGGGCCCTTCGTCCACCTTCAAAGCCAGCAACAGTGGTCGAGTCCTTTTCATATCATAGCACTTTGGCTTTGCTTCTGTTGTCACATCTCTTTTTCTGACCTTCTTTTTTGCCTCCCTCTTCTACTCTTAAGGACCCTGTGATTATATTGGGCCCACCCAGATAATCTATTTTAATGTCAGCTGATTAGCAGCCTTAACTCCATCAGCAACCTTAATTCCCCCCTTGCCATATATTCATAGGTTCTGGGAATTAGGCTGTGAAGCCCTTCAGGGGGCCATTGTTCTGCCTACCATGGTACCTATTCAGTAGTTATGTGATGGCGAATTATCCTGGCATTCCGCTAACTGTGGCTGGTTGACTTTGCAGGAGATCCTGTTGGAAAGCAGCTGCACCATGTAAGTCCCTTCCTTTTGCTAATAAACAAGCCTCCTTCCACTCCCATCCTTCTCTTTCTCCTGTTCCTGTCTCACTAAGCCCAGAGCTTGAGAGTAATCCGCAGCATCTCTTGCCTATTGATCCTAATCCTAAACGTTTTATTAATAACTGTTAGTGATTAAAAAGGTACTAAGTGGAGGGCTTCCTGGCTCGGAACCTGATTCTGAGAGGAGGAAGGGAAGCCCTTGGTCAGGAAGGGGAGTGGAGGCTTAGGCAAGGTCCTTCTGCTTATGCCCGGCATGTTTCCTTTTGTTGGAGTCTGAGCTTGGGAGATACGATGCTAACACGTGTGTTTGACAGGTCCTGGAACAGCAGTGACTTCCAACCTTCTGCCATCCTGTTTGGGAAGAATGAAGTGTTGGTGGAGCAGAAATCTCCAGGTAAGGTAGCCTGGGGTATTGGCTGGTGCTGGAACCCTCAGCCTGTAGCTTGGTTCCTGGTTAATGGTGCCCAGTCTACTCAGGTTCCATTCAAGTGTGAGACTTGGGATCCACCCAGATTCTGCTCTTCCTCAGCTCAGCCACCATGTTTCCTTTCACATGGTGGATGCGACCCTCACTCCCTGGTGCATTTGCTGCTCCTAACCCCATGCTTCTGTTCCATTTGCACCTTCTTCCATTTTACCCTCCACCATCTCCAAAGTGATCTTTCTAAAACCCAGATCTATGGTCGTCCCCCATCTAGTTACAACTCTTCACCCACATCTCCCAGCCAGTGGAATAACCTGTGACTACAGAGGTGCAGCTTCCCATGATTGCACAGTTTGCCTCACCTGCCTTTCTAGCTGCCTTTCCTGCCACTCGCCTGCATGCAGCGGTGCAGCCCGCCTAGTCCTGACTACATGTGGTTTCCCAAACGTGCCAAGCTTTTTTGTACTCCATGCCTTTACATGTGCTGTTCCCTCTGCCTGGATTCCCTTCAGCCTCCACCCTGCTCCCCTGACTCCTCGTGCTCCCCTTTCTCAGCTTAACATTAACCCTGGGAAACACAACCCTATTGGTCGTGAAACACTTCCTAATACCTCACTGAATGTGCTGGAGTCCCGGTGTGCCCGTGACTCTCTGTCCCCATAGAGCGGACCTCCTGTATGCATGGCCAGCACTTATCACGGACTGCTCTGTGACACCGTTAAGTATTTGCCCAATAACCAAGTGTTCACGAGGGGAGAGATGTTGGTAGGGGTCTATATGTGTGAATATTTCAACGTCGAAGAAAACGAGGAGTCACTGTGATGTATTCTAATTCCTCTGAATTCTCTAACCTTACACCTGCTTTTTTTTTTTTTTTTTAAGATTAGTCAAACATAGAGGAGAGAAAGAGTAGAGCAAGGAATTTTATCTGTAACTGACTGCGAGTAGCACCTGCCTTTTTAATGCTGTTTTTCTTCTTAGGATTAAAGAAAAGAGAGACAGAGGTGTACGTGGGCAATCTCCCGCTGGATATCTCTGAGGTATTCTTCACTCTCCGTGAGCAGCTACTGCTTATGTTCCTTGCTCTTCCCTATCTGACTTACTAACCTGCTAATAACTCAGTTGTACCAGTTTTTAAAGATACTTGAGAGCTGTGATGGTGTAAGCAGTCATCAGTTGGTGACTAGAGTGACTAACTCACCACAGTTTGCCTTGGACTTTCCCAGGTTTGGCAGTAGAAAGCTAAAACTGCGTCTAGACAGTCGCAGCACTCAGCTACTTATCCCGTGTAAACCTGGGTTCTTGACCACCTACTTATCACTGTGGATCGAGGCAGCTGCTTTTTAGGAAGGGGCCTTGTTAGGGCTCAGGTGCTGATCCTTTGGTAATAGGGAGCAGTCTGTCTCAGCTAGAAAACTACACCTATTTAACTTGGAAATGGAGCAGTTCGGTCAGTGGGCTGTGTCAGTGGGACTTAGAGAACAGAATGTAAACAATGCTATTTTATTTTTTTGTGGAGGCAGTGTCTCACTATGTTGTCCAGGCTTGTCTCGAACCCCTGGCCTCAAGCGATCCTCCTAACATTCCTTCTTAAAATTGAGATATGATTTGTATACTATAAAATTCACCATTTAAAAATGTACCAGTCAGTAGTTTTTAGTATATTTACGAGGTTGTGCCACCATACCACTAACTCCAGAACATTTTCATCAACTTCCTAAAAAAACCCATACACATTAGCAATCCCTCCTCCTTCTCCCTTCCTCTCAGCCCCTGCAACCACTAATCTACTCTCTATCTCTAAGGATTTGCCTATTGTGAACATTTTATATAACTAGAATCATACAGCATGTGGAGTTTTGTGTTTTCTTTCACTTAGCATGATGTTTTCAGGGATCCATGTTACAGTGTCTCAGTACTTCATTCCTTTTTATAGCTGAATAATATTTCATCGTACGGATATACCACATTTTGTTTATCCATCAGTTGATGGACATTTAAGCTGTTTCCATTTTTTGGCTATTATGAGCAATGCTGCTATGAACATTGGCATACAAATTTTTGTCTAAACATACATTCTGGTTCTCTTGGGTAAATACCTAGGAGCAGAATTGGTGGGTCATGTGGTAACTCTGTGTTTAACTTTTTGTGGAACTACCAAACTGGTTTCCAAAATTGCTACACCATTTTATGTTCGCACCAGCAAAGTATGAGGTTTCCAATTTTTCTACTTCCTTGCCAAAACCTGTTATTATCCTTTTTATTATAGCCATCTAGTGGACATAAAATGGTAGCTCATGATTTTGATTTGCATTTCCCTGGTAACTAGTGAGCATCTTTTCATATGTTTATTGGCCATTTGTATATCTTCTTTGGAAGAATATCTCTTCAAATCCTTTGCCCATTTTTAATTGGTTTATTTTTTTTTATTATTGAGTTGTAAGAGTTCTTTATATATTCTGAATATAAATCCCTTATCAGATATATGATTTAAAAATATTTTCTTTTATTCAGCTGTCATTTAGCTTTATTTATAGTGTCCTTTCACACATAAAAGTTTTTAATTTTGATGAAGTATAATTTTTTTTTCTTTGGTTGCATGTACTTTAGGTGTCATAGCTAAGAATTCATTGCCTAATCTAAGATCACCAAGATTTATACCTGTGATTTTTTTCTAAGAGTTTTATAGTTTTATCTCTTATATTTAGGTCCGTGATCCTTTTTGAACTAATTCTTGTGTATAGTGTGAGGTAGTGGGTCCAACTTCGTTTTTTTTGCATGTGGATATCTAGTTGTCCCAACATCGTTTGTTGAAAAGACTGTTCTTTCCCCATTGAGTTATCTTGGCACCCTTGTCAAAAATCAGTTGAGCATAAATGTACCAGTTCATTTTTGATTCTTATTCTATTCCCGTTGATCTGTTTGTCCTTATGCCAGTACTCTATTTGCTTACTGTAGCTTTGTAGTATGTTTCGAAATTGGACACCCATTTACTCTTGAATCCTCTAGTTTGCCTTCTACCTACACCAGTTTTCCAAAACTGTTCCCGCTGAGTATACCAGTAACCTACATGATGCCAAATGGACTAAAAACTTTCAAATGCTTCTGTTTCCGTAATTATGATAGATCTGAAAACCCTCTCATGAGAAAATAACTGGAAATAGAGGCTAAAATATAAGAAACATTCCTTTTAAATACATAGCTGAGACCTAACAAAATGAGAAAAATTAAGAGAGCCCCAAATAGGCAAGTAACTAAAAACCAGAAGAATCTGGCCAATGTCCTTTGGGTCTTTGCCTGACTCAAAAACCAAAGGGCTTGGATTATAACAACCATGTTGGGGCAGGAGATGAGACAGGATATTTGAAAGGCTGGACTCTCAGTGAATAGTGAACCACAAAAACTTTGCTCGTTGGCCCAGGGTGGTATTAAGCTGTCTTGGCCTGGATGCTGGGGCTGGCAGGGCTAGCAATCTCCACAGGAACATACCACAGTAGGCCAGGTTTCATGTAAATAGGGTTTTAAATTCATATTACCTACGTGGTCTGGGAACCTTCAAGCCAAAAATTAACCTCTAATAAAATTAAAACCCAATTCATAAAATAAAAACACTTAGACTGTGAATGGCACAAAACTTTCTAAATCTGATAAAGAATATCTGCAGAAAATATACAAAAAACTTAATTATTTGGGAAACAAGTATTTTAAAATCTAGAACAGGATGCAAGTATTAATATCACCTCTTCTGTTTAACATTTTATGGGAAGTCTTAACCAGAGTAAGGGAGAAAAGAAAAAGAAATAAAAGGTGTAAGAATTATAAAGGGAAAAACAAAACTGTCATTATTTGTAGATGATTGCCTAAATTGAAAATCTGAAAGGATCTTAGATATTTTGTTAGAGTTCTTGAGAATTAGCAGGGTAATTGAATATAAGGTAAATATGCAAAAGTCAATTGCATTTCTATACAAGAGGAACCAAAAATACAAGGAACTAGAAATAAATAAAAGTTGTATGAGACATATATACAGAAAATTATAAAACTTAACTGAAAGACACTAATGCCCAGTAGTGGGATTGTTGGATCATATGGTAGTTCTATCATATTTGTAGTTTTTTGAGGAACCTCCATACTGTTCTCCGCAGTGGTGGTACGAGTTTTCGTTCCCACCAGCAGCGTGTAAGGGTTCCCTTTCCTCTGCGTCCTCATCGGCATTTGTTGTTTTTTGTCTTTTTGGTGCCCTTGCTGATAACACTAGTTGAAACTCCAGGGATGAAAAGATGTTTGCAGGGTGTTTTTGGTATTTGTGTGTGTGTTTGGGAGAGGAACAGGGATTCTTTTCTCACCCTCAAACATGTTTTCTGAAAACCTAGTGCTTCCTGAATCTGCTTGATACCACAGAACAGTAGTTTTCCACCTTGGCTATATATTCAAATCATCTGGGGAACTTTTAAAAACCAATAGATGCTTTAGTCCCACCCCCAGCAATTCTGATATTGTTTGTCTGCGGTGGGCTAGGCACTGCTTTGGTAGTTGAAAAAGAAAACTAGGCCGGGCGCGATGGCTCATGCCTGTAATCCTAGCACCCTGGGAAGCCAAGGTGGGAGAATCATTTGAGCTCAGGAGTTCAAGACCAGCCTGAGCAAGAGCGAGACCCCATCTCTATTAAAAATAGAAAAAAAATTAGCCAGTCAAATAAAAATAGAAACAAAAAATTAGCCTGGCGTGGTGACTCATGCCTGTAGTCCCAGCAACTCGGGAGGCTGAGGCAGGAGGATCGCTTGAGCCCAGGAGTCTGAGGTTGCTGTGAGCTAGGCTGACACCATGGCACTCACTCTAGCCTGGGCAACAAACCAAGACTCCGTCTCAAAAAAAATAAAAAAAGAGAAAAACTCAAGGAACTCCCCAGCTGAATCTTGTCTGTAGCCAGAATTGAAACCATTGCTGTTGAATAAGCGTTGGCAAACTTTTTCTGTAAAGGGTCATATAGTAAATATTTTATGCTTTGAAAGCCATATGCCTCAGTTACTCGTACTCAGCTGTGCTGTTGTAGCATGAAAGCTGCCATAGACAGTGTGTGAATGAATATGCATGCCTGTGTTTCAATAAAACTTTATCTACAAAAATGGTGGTGGACTGGATTTGGCCCAAGGCTGTGGTTTCCTGATACCTGTTATAGAAGATACCAAAATAATAAATAGTTTTCATTTTCTTTTAATAGCAGTAAAACCTGAGAAGAGAACTATGGTTTGCGTAACATAATGGAAAGAATGTAGGATTTGAACCCTGAGTTCAAATCCTAACTCTGAATTGGCTGTGCAATCTTAGGGAAGTCACTTAACCTCTCTGATCCTTATTTTATGCATCTGTGCAATGAGGATAACAGTAATGCATACTTTACGGGGGGTTATAGAGACCAGATGGAATAAGTCATATGAAAGTGCCTCATAAAGTGGAAATGCTAAGCACATATTGCTTGCTCTCACAAATTGCTTGTTGCTCAGCATCTTGTGGATTATGTGTAATAAACATTAAATATTTAAAAGTAAAGCAAATTAGAAAATTTGAATTTAAATGTAATATAAACATGGAGCCCGAGAAAAATGAGTTATACATAATGCATTTTTATTTTCCTAAGCCAACAAAGTGACTTTGGAAGATGATATAAATATACATTTCTCAAAGATAGAGTTTTCTGGAGAAAAATTAGTTTTCGCCACAGTTGTGAAATTTTACAACCGTAACATGCTGGTGGGGAAGCCAAGGAAGGAGCAAGTGTGGACGGGTGCAGGTAGGAGTCGAAAGAGCGGAGGCCTGAACAGAAGCCATCACAGTGGGCAGCGGGCGCACATCTGTTACCTGCAAGGAGGCATTTGCAGTAGGGCAGGCACAGAAGCCGAACTGCAGACAGTCAGGAGGGAGTGGGCGGGGAGGAAATGGAGGCATTAGGCGGAGACGGCTCTTTCTACAAGTTTGGCAGAAAAGGGAAAAAATAGGGTGTAGCTCAAAAGGGCATCAGGGTGGCGTAGATGTTATCTCAGAGCAGGGGAGGGTGGTGCAAGTGTGGAGATGGGGTCTCATGACAGTGGAGTGGGTTGGGAGGACCAGAGAGGGGAGGGAGGCAGCCTGAGGGCAGACCAGGAGAGGAGCTGAGAAGGCCCGGGGGAAATAACAAGGGAAGAGGGAGGAGAGTCAGACCGGAGCAGTGGGGAGAGGGCACTTGCAAAGCTGCAGAAGTCACTTCCTCCAGGGAGCCCGCCTTGACCTCCTCCTGTCCCTCTAAATCTGGGTTAAATGTGCTCCCGTAGCCGCTGTACTTCCTGTGATGAAATGGGCCATTTACTTGGTTGCCTTGTCTCCATCCCCCCTGGACTGTTGGGCTTCACTGAAGACAGGGCTCCTGTCTTGTCTGTCTCTGTATTTGCAGCACTTAGCATAAAATCTGGCCCAGGCAGCACATGATAGATTCTCATTAGGTATGTGTTAAACGAAGTACAAATTAGCTGGTTGGGGATCTAAAACCTTGAGAACTGGTTGTGAGTTATGTCTTCTGGTCTCTTTATCTTTTAAACCCTGTAGGAGGAAATTCTGTGCCTTCTGAAGGACTTCAGCCCTCTCCATGTCCACAAAATCCAGAATGGCTGCAAGTGGTAATGACTGTTCTTCCTTTGTTTGCTTTGGGAAGCACCTCCTTTCCTCCCTGTCCATTTCGCTGATGCGTGGCCATTGCAGACTAGCCCAGCAACTCCCAAATCCACACCCACGGCCACTTGGCAAGGAGACATTTGGGAAACCCCCTTTCCATATTTAACCCTCTGACTTGGCAGCTGATGATGTCTTGTCAATACAACCACCCTGGTTTAGACATCCAGAGACCTTGGGTTTATTTTTAGTTATGTCCCTGCTGTGTTTTCTGATTTGAGGCGAGTTACTGTGCCACCCTCACGTTTAGCTGTACCTGAAAACTGGACCTACTCATAGTTTCCCTTTCTTATTTTCAAGGCAATAACAGTGCTTTGAACTTTTGGGGGCAGTAGTATTAAAGAAACTCGTAGATATATTGTGCATAGTGATAGAATCAGCTCATTTCTTGCCCCCAGAGGCCCACAACAGTCTCTCCCATTGCCCGGCCCAGTCCTGAATCTGGACGTATTTTTGGCTTGTCGTGCATTTGGAATGGCTCTTCTGTTGCTGCGGGGGGAAAGGAGACTGCTCTCCCGCTGGGGCCCGCTGCCCCACCTGTCGCTCTGGGCTTCCCTTGAGATGTGCTCAGAGCTGCCGTCTCTCTCTTTCCTCGTCAGCTTCGCATTCGTGGACCTGGGCTCTGCGCAGAACGTGGCACTTGCGATCCAGGGATTAAATGGCAAGCTCTTCCACAAACGAAAATTGTTCGTGAATACAAACAAGAGGCCCCCCAAGAGCATCTCTGACTTGGCCAACAGGCCCGAGGAGCTGCCGGTACGTTCTCTGGCCTCTCCGTGCTCTGGTTGCTTTTGTTCCACTCTTCAGGGCTTGGCAGACTTTGCTTCTGGTCCTGTCATCCTCCTTCAGTCCAGCTTACTGTGGAAGATGTGGGGGCTCGGGTGAAATTAGGGAAACTTTATGACCTTTAGCAGAAGCAAGGTCAGGTACAGAAAACTTGGAATTTGTAGATAACGGGGACTGTGTTCTTGGCAAGGACTAAAAGAGTCATTAGGCAATTCAGTCAGGGCTTTTTCAACGTAGAATATTGAAATTCAGGTTTTTACTTGTTTAATGTAGCAAACATTAATTGGATGTCTGATGTTTGTGCAGCCCGTTCTGGCTACTTATGTGTAGTATAGGACAAAGGGGAATAAAATCTGGTTCCTCCTGGCAGGAAGACAAATATTGCCAAATATGAGGTGTGAGGCGGGGGAGTTAACGGTGGGGGTTCATGGTAGAGAAGGAAAGGCCCCTAACTTGCCCCTCAGAAGAGGTGGGCCAGGAGAAGGATCTCATTTCAGAGCCTGAAGTTAGGTTGTACATACAAGGACATCCGAAAAGCAGAGGCTTAAACAAGTTAACTATTTGGTTTCCTTTCCTATAGATGAAGTCAGGTTTGGAGTCCAGCGTTAGTATGGGGACTCCATGATGTTATCAGGGTTCCAGGCAGGAAGCAGGGGAGAGGCAAAGGGCAAAAGAGGCTGTGTCCTCTTAAAAGATACATGTTCAGAAGCCCTGACCGTAATTCTGCTTATGTTTCCTTGGATAGCACTACAACTTATGGCTTATGTGCAAAGAGGCTGGGACATGTAGTTCTTGTATTGATTTATTTATTTTTTTGAGACAGGGCCTCACTCTGTTACCCAGGCTGGAGTGCAGTGGCATCATCATAGCTCACTGCAACCTCCAGCTCCCAGGCTCAGACGATCCTCTTGGCTCAGGTGGGACTACAGGCGTGGGCCACCACAGCCGGCTAATTTTTAAATGTTTTGTAGAGATGGAGTCTCACTACATTGCCCAGGCTGGTCTCGAACTCCTGGCCTCAAGTGATCCTCCTGCCTCAGCGTCCCAAAGTGTTGGGATTACAGGAGTGATCCACCGCACCTGGCCTGAGATGTAGATCTTAAGGATAGGGACATTGTTGCTAAACTGTGGTTCTGTCAGCAGGGAGGAAGGAGAGAATGCACGCAGGCAGCCAGTTAACAAGTTCAGTCCCAAAGCGGGAGAAGTTGCAGATGGGAGCTGAGAGACAGGTTGGAATTACCACAACGAGATTGTCAGGTTGTCAATAGTTCCCAACTGTTTCTCTTTCTTTCTAAACCCTAGCAGCTCTTCAGAAGGTTAAACTGTGAGAGTATGCTACTTCCTGAATCTGCTGTTCTGTATCATGCTCTTCACTGAAAAAGTCAGCTTCTGGCTCATTATCTTTCTCCCATTATCATGCAAATGTAGTGTCCGTGTGGATGATCTGTCTAAGATTCCAGTGACTAGACTCTAGCCACTTGCTTCCCGATTGTTGTATCTTGGATGGTCTTTTCTTCCCCTTGGTCGCAGTTTCTCACTCCCCTAGCTATATTTCAGACCTTGCCATTGCTAATAACTGAGCATCTCCAAAATAGCCATTTCAAACATCCCACTGTGCACCCCCCATCTTTGCAGCTCTCTTACCCTGGAAGAGTAGTTCTCAAGCTTGCACAAGCATCAGAATCAACTGAAGAGCTTGTCAAAACAGCTTGCTGAGCTCCATACCCCAGAGATTCTGATTCAGTACATCTAGGATGGGACCCAAGAATTTGCACAAACTCCAGCTGGTGCTGGTTCTCCTGGGGCCACATTTTGAGTAGCAAGGCTCTGCAGCCCCCAGGCCAACAGTTGATATATTGGCACACATCAGTCACCTAAATCCACTGACCCCACCATTTCTTCACTATTCAACACTCTCTTTGTTCTCTCACTTCCCTCCTTAGCTTAGATTCCACAGTCTATAAGTACCTTAGTCCAAACATCCTTAACTGCCTTACCCTTTTCTCACTAGGTCATATCTTGGAAGACCTCAATCCTTGTTGAACCCTCTGCCTGTTCTGAACATGTCCTCTGAGCTGCTGTGAAGGCATCACACAGCCTTGCTAACTGGTCTCAGTATATGTGGGTGGCCACAAGCTTTCCTAATCTTCTAAATTGGCCTGTCTTGGAATTCCCTAACCTTTTTTGCTCCTGTGTCCAGTCTGCTCTTAAGCCCATTTGATGAATTTTTTGTTTTAGATAGTATATTTTTCAACTTTCATTTGGTTCTTTTTTCCCATTTCTCTGCCAAAATCTTCCGTTTTTTCACCCATTTTGTCTCTTTTAGATTCTTTAATATATTTATGGTCATTATTATAAAATCATTTTCTGCACATTTTAACATCTGAATAATTTGTGGATCTGCTTCTATTGACATTTACTCCCTTGATTATGGACAGAATTTTCAAAATCCTTTAGAAATATAGTAATTTTTTATTATACGTTGGACATTGTGGGTATTGTAGAGACATTTTGTTATTATCCTCTAAATAGTGTTGGATTTTTTTCTAGCAAAAATTAAATTGCTAGCATACCTTTTCATCAGATGAGTGCTTACCAAGATCTCTCCCCAGCACTGTGAGACCACGATATCTGTGTTCCTCTCCCGGCTCCCTTTCCCTGACCCTGACCGCAGCTGTACTCCTCCAGGCTTCCAAGAACCTGCCCTGCACATACCTTGGGATTCAGCCAAGGACCTGAGGTGAACCCCTAGATTTCTGGGTTCTTTGTGGCTCCTTCCTTTCTGGTACTCTGTCCCCCAGATTTCTGCCATGTAAACTCTTACCTGTTTTTGCTGCCCAGAGAGACTGCCACTTTCTGCCTGAGCTCTCTTTCCCTTTGCTGTGGTTTAGGATGATGCCCCCAGGCAAAAGGCCAGAGTGAATGTGGGGCTCACCAGCTTTCCTTGTCTCAGGCAAATTGCCACCTGCCATCCACTATCATTAGTCCTGTGCTGGGAACGATTTATTCATATATTTTTCCCAGTTTGAGAGCTTTTTGGGGTGAGAACGTTAAGTTGTGTCATGACAGAATCAGAAACTGGGAAAGAGTGTCCTAGTCTCGCTTGCTTAGGGTGGATGTGGTTTCCCAGGAGTGCTCCTAGTGCAGCTAACCAGGAGATGCACACAAAATCCCTGTACGTTTGCCAATGTAAGTACACAGTCCTAGGTAAACAATACATGGGGCAAAAAAGAAACTATAACAAATTTGAAAACACTGAGAACTGAACAATAAGGAAAATACTACCCATAAAAAGTTTTAGGATAGAGTGAAAGTAATATTTAGAGGCAAATGTTCGATTTTAAATGAGCAAATACGAAAAGTTGAAAGTTAATGAGCTAAGAGTTAT